CCTACACAGCCTGAGGGAGCCCACTGGCCCTCGCCAACACTCACGACAGTCCTGCTCGTCTGAGTCGTCCTCACAGTCATTGTCCCCGTCACATACCCAGGAGCGGCGGATGCACTTGCCATTGTCACAGTGAAAGTCAAGAGGGGAACACGTGGGCAGCACTGAGTCCGAAAAAAGAAGGGAAAAGTGAATCAAGCGGGTATCCTTACTCAGGCAGAAAAACTGGGCCAGAAATCCATCCCCAATCCTCCCTGTTCCAAAAGCTCTCGGTCTGACTTAAGAGGTTTTCCTCCCAGACTCCTATGTCTATCCCCAATGCTGGAGGAGCTAAGTCGAAACCCCAAGAACTCAAAGCCACTAAGAGAGCAGGAAGAAAAATGCGAGCAGTGCTTTTTCTCCCTCCCTTCCCTTTAAATGATGACTGACACAGCTGGGCTCAGTTTCCAGCTACAGAACTCATTACTTATCACACCGCGCAAGTCATTTACCCTCGCGGAGCTGCGGTTGCTTTGACTGTACAATGGGGGTAATTATACTCGGCTCGGAGAGGTCTTTGAGATAATGCATGTGAAAGTGCTACATGAAAAGTGAAGCATTTACCATCATCACAATTAGCTGAACTGCTTAAGGGTTAATGAGGTCCAGGCTGTAGCTTCGTTCCCATTAGACTAATTAGCCACCCTCAGACATAGAGGCTGCAGGTTAGAGACTGCACCCCTAAACCCAGGCAACGGGCTTAGCAGTGGGATTTCTCTATATCTAAGACAGGACACCCCGGTCCACTGCGCATGTGTCACTATGCCAGGGGAGAGAATATACATTTTCTTTCTTTCTTTTTTTTTTTTTTTTTGGAGAGGTTTTTTCGCTATAGGGCATGTGTGCTCGCCAGAAAGAGAGTGACAGAGAGATAGAAAGCGAGAAATCACCCCCCAGGGGAGATGGACACGCCGCAATCCCTTCTCCTCCATTTTCCTCTCGGGATCTTGGGCACGCACGCACATGTACCCGGCGTGAGTTTAAGCCACCGGGTTAGGGACGCGAACCACGGTGGACTACATGGGAGTCCAGCTACATAGCCATTACGTTAACCGCTGGTCCCAAATATACATTTTTTAAACATAGTTTATGTTATTAAAAAAAAAGGTGTGAATATGCAAAAAAAAGTTAGAAACATGGAAATAATCTGCATTCGTGCATAATACATACATTTAAAAATGCACAAATATGCAGTCCATATACACAAACACATTATTCACATAAATATAGAAGGATCTCTTTAAAGAGACTACATGTTGTTACGAGGCTGTCTTTTATGCTCATTTCTAAGGTCGTTTTATCAGATATATATGCACCAACCCACCAAACCCGGGAGCCACGTACCCGCTGGAGAAACCAGCCGTCTGTTGCTCTCCACTCTCTCGAGCGGAGCGTCTAAGCCCCTGCGTCTGACACAGGGGACGCACAGAACACTCCCTCAGCCTCGTCTTTCCCACACCTCCAGGCCCTCCTCCACCCTCTCCCGCTGCCCCCCGGGGTGGTACTTACTACATCCGTCCTCATCGCTGTGGTCCCCGCAGTCGTTGTCCCCATCGCACTGCCACTGGGCAGGGATGCAGGTACACTCGCCAAGCGCACTCACTGCACACGTGAAGTGGCTCCGGCCACAGGCACACTCGGGGCTGCTGGCCAGGCCTGGGTGGGGGAAAAGGGACCAGTGAGGACTCAGCTCCTATTCGCCCAAAGCCTATTCTGAGAGAAGGTAAAGGCCCGGGGCACAGTGACCCAGAACAGGAGACGTGGGTGATGTCACTACGCCCCCTCCTCCGGGGCACAGAAGGCACCCTCTATGTTTGGGCTCACAGACGTCCCGGAACCCCCTCCATGACCAGGCCTTTTTCGCACAGCACCTCCAAAGGCCGAGTAACAAAGGACACCACCCAGAGGGCCGGTGCTCCTGGAGATGGAAGCAGGAGGGATGGGATAATGAGAGAAGGCCTCCGTGTCCTCCCCCCAGAACCGGGGATACTTCTGCCCCTATCCTGCATCAGACTGGGGTGTTGGCTAGAGAGGCAAGAAATGATAGTGGAATTAAAACGCTATAGCCTCTGGGGGCCAGCAAGTGGCATGGTGGATGGTTGAGGTGCTGGATTCCCACATGGTCAACCACGGTTCAAGTCCCGGACCTGGCAGTTTGCTTTCTCACTCTCCCTTTCTCTCCGTCTGTCTCTCTCTGGTCAAAACTGAAGAATAATGATAATAAATAAAAAAATGTTTTTACAAAAAGCTATAGCCTCTGAAGGATAAGAAATCCACACGGGAGGGGGAGCAGGAAGCAGAGTGGGCTGCTGGGAGTCCCCCAGTCAGCCCTTACTTTTGAGGAGGGAGACCAGGAGGAGCAGGCCCCAGGGGGAGGGGACCAGTCAGGGCCTTCCTGTCTGTGGGACAGGCCCAGCCTAAGGAAGGATGGCAGATGCAGCCCCTCCCCCAGCCTCCACAGCGCAGCTGGGCTTCCCTATTGAGCATCGAGCTATCTGCCTGGCCAAGTCCCATGACCGGCTGCCGTGCCCCCTCCCCAGCGTGCCCAGCAGGCTGCCCTGGGATGGCGTGTGAATGGCTCAGTGCCCCCGCTGCAGCCTCAGCTGGAACAAAGGGTTCTGCCAGGGTCACTCTCCCCCTCCCAGCATTCATCAAACCCGCTGGGCTGGCAGCTGGGGAAGGAGGGGGCCACTGCTCACTGCTCATCCCTCCCCTGCTTTCTTCCCCTTCTCCTCCCCCCAGCTGGGCCCTGCCCTCAGGCTGGGCTAGGACAGGGAAGAAGGAGGCTCTAAACTGCCCCCCCCTCTTCCCAGACTACTCACCTGGCCCAGCTCCTCTCTGGGCTCGTCAGTGACCGATGACGGACTGACAGTGACTTGGCCTGGCCTGAGGTCTGGGGCCCAGAACCCACGGGGTGTGCTGCTATGTGATCCAAAAGCTAGAGGAGAGACCTGGCCCTCTCCTGCTCTTCAACTCCAAGGGTAAGTGTGAGCAGAAGGCAGAGCTTCCTAACCTAACCTGCTGTGGAGGCGGGGAGGGAGTGGAGTGGAGCCTTCGGAATTCGCCATCTCTGAAGCACAGACAAAATGTGCATTTGTGGGGTGAGGGACCAGAGCTTCCACCAGGGCCTCACCCAAAGCCTGGTCCTCCCCCTCCACATGCTGAGGGCACCAGCTGTCCTGCTACAAATGCAGAATTTCCTGCGGGAACCAGGAGTCCACCTGGGGGGAGGGGGGGACATCTCTCTACACCTCACAGAAGGCCTCACTCCGAGCCCTGCATTCCTGTCTCTCCATGTTTTTCTGCAAATGCAGGATTTGCAGAAAAGAGGATTCTTCCCAAGGAAGTGTTGAAGGTCCAGCTGTCCCAGCCCGGCCCCAACCCCAAACTAATGGTCTGTTCCGAAAACACTGAGAAGGTACAAGGGTCTTTCTCATTCAAAGCCCGGGCAGCAGAGCAGGAGGAGCTCCTGCAGTGACTAGCCCATCCCAGCCCGTGCTCTGCAGGGGTTCAGTGAGAACGCTCCAGCATGGAGGCTCCCGGCGCGGATCCCCTTTCTGGGCAGGCACTGTGAAGGAAGGATAAGGCTGCCTCAGTGGGTCTCCATCGAGGACGAGATGATGTTGCCCCTCAGGGGACATGTGACAATGTTTGGAGACATTTTTGGTTGTCACGATTGGCGGTAATACTGGCATTTAGCAGGCAGACGCCAGGGATGCTGCCAAACATCCTGCAATGCACAGATAGGCTCCCCTGGCAAAGGATTATGCTCGAAGGCCAGCTGGTGCTCAAGGGGGTTCGATCTCACACAGCAGACTGTGTGGTTCGAGTCTCAGACCTGGCAGCTTCAAAACACATGCCAGGTGCATATGCGTGCCCAAAATCCTGAGAGGAGAATGGAGGAGAAGGGATGGTGTGGCTATCCCCCTGGCGGTGTTTTCTCACTTTCCTTCTGTCTGTCTTTCTCTCTCTCTCTCTCTCTTTCTCTCTCCCTGGTGAGCACAAATGCCCTACAGCAAATTAAAAAAATAAAAGATGTGGCTTAAAACGTCAATAAAGGTTGAGAACTGCTGTTAGCCACCCACAGGAGGAAGTGAAGATGCACCCACTGTGGCAGGGAGTTCAGGATAAAGGAGGGACAAAAATAGAGAGGAAAGGGGGGATTGGAGGAGGCTGGGGAGCAGAGAAAAAGACACTGGGTCTGGGGCACACAGACCTGACCTGGGTACCGCTGACCAGCTATGAGACTTTGCACACGTCACTATCTCCCTAAACTTCATTTCCTCACCTCATCTGAAAAACAGGCACAAAGATTGGACAAGGAAGTAAAGGTTAAAGGAACTAGCCTGGGGCCAGCAGGTGTCGTGGTGGTTAAGGCACTGGACACTCCCACGTGGCTGACCACAGTTCGAGTTCTGGACCTGGTGGAACTCTCTCTCTCTGCTCAAAAATAAAATGAATGAATAAATAAAATAAAAATAATTCTTTTTAAAAAAAGAAGAAACCAGCCTGTGCCCTGGCACACCCAAGATGCTCAGTAATAGAGTCTGGAGTGGGATACACGTGAGTGTGTGGTAGTTCACCTCCCCCAGAACTAACTGGATTGGATTATAAAGTGAAAAAGTATGAAGGTAGAGAGAAGCCTTCAGCCCCTGCTCTTTAGCCTCCACCTCCACCTACTGCCTGGCGCTGAGTGATAACAGAAGTGTGATTGCCCTGCAGCCCATTGGGAACAAAGCATTCCATCAGGTGGGCATCCAGTTGGTTGCAGGCAGCTGAGAAGTCCCGACTTCCGGCCTATCAGAGCAATGCCTGACTATCTGCAGTGAGGGTCAGGCAAACCCTTGACTTGAGCACTCCCACAGTAAACAGACACTCCATATTCCAAAAAGTCAGCACTTCTGGACAACTGCTGCTCCTCTGGGATCCCCAGAGGTGGAATTCTGTCTTTTCACTCCAGTCCTGGCTGTGATCACAGAGGGCAACCTTTAACCCTTTTAAAGTAAAAGAATGGTGAATGAAGAAAGGAGACAAATGACTGAGGAGCAAAAGCAGCCCTTGTTTTAAGAAATGTTTAATTCGAATCCTCAGCTCTGCCTCTGGTCTTGAAAACTGCCAGCCACACTGCAAGTTCCCTTGGCCTCCAGGCGCTTGGACTCCAGCCCTTTTACCTAATGCAATTCCACAAGGGAAGGGTCTCGATCCTCTTAGTCACGCAGCGCTGGAGAAAGCAGGACCTTCCTGAGGGAGTAGCCCAAACTGCACTGTTCCTGTCTCACCTCCCTCATCCCAACCGCTTTATTAACTTCTCAACCCTTTCTAAGGAAGGAAGGGAAACATGCCATGTGAACACTGTAACCCAGTATCAGCATAGGTTCTGGAGTTAGAGACTAAGGTTCAAATCTTACCTCCGCCACTAACTCGATGGCTTCGTGCAAGTAATGTAAGCGCCACAAGCCTCAGTTTCCTCATCCATAAAATGGGAATAAAAAGGGTTGGTTTCTGGGAACCAGCAGTTAGCGTAATGGCTATGTCGCTGGACTCCCACGTAGTCGACTGCGGTTTGTGTCCCGGACCCGGTGGCTTAAAACTCACGCCGGGCGCATGTGCGTGCGTGCCCAAGATCCCGAGAGGAGAATGGAGGAGAAGGGATTGCGGCGTGACCATCCCCTCTGGGGGGTGATTTCTCGCTTTCTGTCTCTATGTCTCTCTCTGTCTGTCTGGTGAGTGCACGCGCCCTACAGTGAAAATCTCTCCAATAAATAAATAAATAAATAAATAAATAAAAGGGTTGGTTTCTGTGTGTGTGTGTGTGTGTGTGTGTGTGTGTGTGTGTGTGCGCGTGTGAGTTTAGGGTTTTTGCCAGAGGGCACATGTGTGAGAGAAACAGGGAAACGAGATAGAAAGTGAGAAATCACTCCCTGGTGGAGGGTGGGGTGGGGGGTGGGGTGGCCATTCCACAATTCCTTCTCCTCCACTCTCTTCCTGAGATTTTCGACACAAACCGGGTGTGATTTTCAAGCCTATGGGTTCAGGACTCAAACCCGCAGTCAGCCATGTGGGAGTCCAGTGCCGTAACTACCACCTGCTTGCTGTCCCTGGGGATAATAATAATTTTACTTCAAAAGAATTTTTTAAGAATTATTTGTTTAATTTTATTTATTCATTCATTTATTTTTTAAATTTGACTAGAGAGAGACACAGAGAGAGAAACAGGGAAAGTGAGAAAGCAAGTCACCAGGTCCAGGACTTAAACCACGATCGCCCCTGTGGGTGTGTCCAGAACCTTAACCACCATGCCACCTTCTGGTCCCCTTACTTCAAAGGATTTTACAAAGATTAAATGAAATTGGGAACCAGCAGTTAGCATAATGGCTATGTTGCTGGACTCCCATGTAGTCGACCGCGGTTCGAGTCCTGGACCCGGTGGCTTAAAACTCACGCCGGGTGCGTGTGCGTGCGTGCCCAAGATCCCGAGAGGAGAATGGAGGAGGAGGGATTGTGGCGTGACCATCCCCCCTGGGGGGTGATTTCTCGCTTTCTGTCTCTATGTCTCTCTCTGTCTGTCTGGCGAGCGCAGGCGCCCTATAGCGAAAAAAAAAAAACTCTCAAAAAAAAAAAAAAACATGAAATGAAATGATCTGTGCACACCACTTAGCATAGGGCTGGTACACAGTGAATGCTTCATAACAATATAGCCATCATTTACTGAGTGCTTAACAGGTGCCCTCCAAGTATTTTCTAAGTGGTTTTCTTTTAAAGAATTATTTTATTTAACTTTATTTATTTATTTTAGTTTGACCAGAGAGGGACAGAGTGAGAGAGAGAGAGAAAGTGAGAAAGTAAGCTGCCAGGTTCAGGACTCAAACCATGGTCAGCCATGCGGGAGTCCAGCACCCTTAACCTCCATGCCACCGGCCAGCCCCCTAAGTGTTTTTCATATGCTACATCATTGTATGCCTTCAAAGCCCCTTGGAGGTGGACTGTCATTATTATTACCACTTTGCAGTGAGGACAATGAGACAACAGAAAGTTAAGTGTGTAGATAGGTCACATAGGTATTAACAGTCGGGTCAGCATTTGCTTGCAAGCAGGTGATTATATGGCCTCCCAATAAATGGTTTTGCTACTTTGAGAATCTCTGAAATCTCAAGATCAAAATCAAAAATGTATAATTTCTCAGTCCCTCTCCTGTTTGCATTTTCCATGGACAAGCATGCAATGAGTTTATGGGTCTCAGTGACTCTGATTAGTGCAAAGGGAAAGTCCAATTTCCCTTGCCCTAAGGCGAAGCAGCGAAGGGAAGAAAGTCTGCAGTCGGAGCCCTTTTGAACCAGTTCCTCACTGTTAGGGTTAGGATTCGGGTTATAGAAAGAAACGAGGCTTCCAATGATAAACTTCGCAGTTTCTCTTTATGGTTTGCAAATCACTTTTTTTAAAAATTATTTATTTAATTTTATTTATTTATTCATTTATTTTAATTTGATCAGAGAGAGAGAGAGAGAGAGAGAAAGTGAGAAAGCAAGCCACCAGGTCCAGGACTCGAACCATGGTTAGCCATGTGGGAGTGTCCAGCACCTTAACCATCACGCCACCTGCTGGTTCCCCGCAAATCACTTTTGCATATGCACTTGCAATCTCATTTCATCACTACAAAAGTCCTGAGCAGTTACCGTAGTGCCCACTCAATAAGTAAGCCCACCAGCTTTGGCCAAGGTTATAAGGTAGACAGGAGAGCCAGGACAGCACCCCCACTCGGCCTCTTAGACCAGCCTTCTCTTAGCGTGGGCTCAGAATCTAGACTTTCGATAAAGCTTTGCAGATGACACTGACGCATGTTCAAGTGTCTAGAGGAATGCCTTCCGCTATTAGACCGCTCAGCAGAGGGCGAGCCACACCTGTCACACGGAGGCTCATGGTTGGACAGTGACTACGCACAGCTGCAGAGCAGCTTTTTCAAGTTGAACCAGGGATGAGAAGCTGAAGGAGTGCCCTGTGAGTGTTCGGCAGGACGTGGCTACCCCAGCACGGCAAGGATTAGAACTACCATGGGAAAGAGAGGAATTAGCATTCATAAGTGAAGGACGTTTCTCTTTCCTTTTAAAAAAATTTGCTATGGGGGGGTGGTGCTGCCTGCTGGTGGTGTGGTGGTTAAAGGCGCTGGACTCCCACATGGCCGACCACGGCTCAAGTCCCAGACCTGGCAGCTTGTTTTCTCACTTTCCCTTTCTCTCTCTCTCTCTGTGTCCATCTCTGGTGAAAATTAAAAATAATAATAATAATAATAATAATAATAACACATAGAATTAAAAAAATAATTAATTCTTTTTAAAAATGTGCTATAGGGGCATGTGCACTTTCCAGAGAAAGACAGGGAGAGAGTGAGCGAAGGAAAGTGACAAAACACTCCATCCTCACATCCCCTACTCCAGTGGGATGGCCACATTGCAATCCCTTCTCCTTCACTCTCCTCTTGAGATTTTTTTTTTTTTTTTTGGAGAGGTTTTTGCTATAGGGCGCGTGCGCTCGCCAGACAGACAGAGAGATAGAAAGCGAGAAATCACCCCCGAGGGGGGATGGCCACACCACAATCCCTTCTCCATTCTCCTCTCGGGATCTTGGGCACGCACACACACACACATGCCCGGCGTGAGTTTAAGCCACCGGGCCTGGGAATCGAACCACAGTCGACTATGTGGGAATCCAGCAACACAGCCATTACACTAACTGCTACTCCCCTCCTCTTGAGATTTTGAGTGCACATGAACCTCGTGTATTCTTCAAGCCATCGGTCCAGGACTCAAACTGTGCAGTCAGCCATGTGGGATCCAGCTGCCTCAACCACCATGCCACGGCTGGCCCCGTTCTCCTAATAACATACAAAAGCCTCTTCTCTCCTCCTGCCCACGGGCAGCAATGGTGAAGCTAGCAACGTTACTGAATAAGGATACATGATCTGAAATGACTCGAAACTCCATTCAGGCCACGGAGGAACACATCCATTCATTTCATAGCTCCTTGGGCAGCCTACTCACTAGGCATCTCTCACTGGAGGGGAGGCCCATGTAGCAATACAAAACTGACACAACTGAAAGGACAATGACAGCAGGGAGCCACGTGGGAACGAACCCGACTTCATCCCAGAGGTCCTGGAGCCTGCAGAGACCTAGAAACAGTCACTGTCTGAGAGAGCAGAGCTCACCTAGGAAACAATAGTACCAGGAAAAAAAAAAACCACCACCACCCAGTAAGTGGTAGCAGGAGGAGGCCAGGAAGTGGAGTTCCTGACAGTAACTCACCTGGACCCACTTGACCCAAATGACTTGAAAATCTCTGCTCTGTGCTCCAGAGGCCCTTCATGTTGTTCTCTTACTACATTATAAACTTCTCCATCATTGAAATTGTCTGATACAGAGCTTTATGTTTGTGTTCGCACTGTATCACTCAATGTTTAAAATGTATAAAGCAGACGATCAAGACAATTTGTTGAGTCAATGAATGACTGCTACACTACTCTGGAGTTCCGTGAAAGCTAGAATCAAAGGAAGAGAGACGTCCAGATATTAGAAATGAAAGCAGTTAAACCAGCAGGTGGGCATATTGATTGAGGTGCTGGAATTCTGTATGGCTGATCATGGTTCAAGTCCAGGACTTGGTGACTTGCTTTCTCTCTTTCTCTCTCTGTTCAAATTAAAAGAAAAAAAAAATCAACATAATAAAATAATAATTAAAAAAAAATGAAATGAAAGCGGTTATTTCCTACCTACCCTGCTCTCAGGAAGACAAGCATCTTCTCC